TTATAAGAGATCCAATAATAAGCAAAATTAATATTGCACTTAAAAGCTAATTGCCAAATTTTCATAATACAAAAGTCGAATAGCCTTGTAAAGTTCACTTGATCTTTTTCGATAAGTATGAGAATCTCTCTCTCTCTCTCTTTCTCTCTCTTTCTCTCTCTTTCTCACTGATAAATAACGAATTTAAATCTATAGAGATCAAATAAGACATATGATCAACAGTTAGACATACTATTTAAAGTCAATTAATTTTTTTTTTACTATTTTTTTTACTATTAATGTTTTTTTTGCAATCTATACTTATAACTGGTAGTTCAGCTAAAATTATAGCACTGTAATCAGTAAAATCACGCTGAAAGAATCAGTTAAATACTAACGTTCTGTTTTCACTATTGATGCAATTTATAAATGCAATCAGGGTCATCGCACGCGAGATATATAGAATATGTTAATTCCATCGTCGCAAACGCAGAAAGCTATATACAGCGTATAACGAATTTTTGTACTACAGATTTTGCAGCAAAATCTTACTTCCGTAAATAAAAATCGAAAATAATCAGATTAGAGGTATAAGATGGGACAATATAGTTGAAAAAAAAGTATTTCCTCTGAAAGTCAATGGATTCACTGACTCAGTCGAAAAAATTTATATTGATTTAAAAAAAACAGATATTTGAAATCGAATAACTTATAAAGCGGCCAGATCATTTTTTACTACAATAATCTTTTCTAAAAATAAAAGTTTCAAAAATTATACAAAATTTGAAAAAAATAATAAAAATGTTTATAAAAAGATAGTACAAAAATTTGAAAAAAATCTCCGGGACTTGGCCAAATTTTGCTGCAAAACTCCGATGATATTAATATTACAACTTATTTACTATAATACTTATGATATTTTTACTATGTGCACCTGTTATTTTTCGAGCACGACACTATTTCACAAACACAATTTCAATACAGATTTCTTTCCATTAATGTTATCTTGCAATGTTTTTGCAATAAAAATGTTATAAAATATTTGTTAAATAAGATATTTATATATCGCGAAATTATTATAAAATGTAACACAGACTCACAATATTTCATAATATTTATAATATCTTAATTTATTTTATATCTTGATCTCGAAAACGAAAGCAAAATCTCGTCGACGAAATATTGTTACACTACTCTTAGGTCCTAACTGTACGCTGTTCCAAACTCAAATGACCAGATCCTACGTGTTCTACAATTTTCTTTCCATTACAGTACAGACCTATAGGCCTGTGGAGAGTTACAAAGAATGCTTTTCACACGTGAAACAAAGTACATTTCTGTTTTACCTTTAACACGTTTCTTCACGTTTCAATGCATCAAAAGACGAGTAAGACCTGGTCTACAATAGGTGATTAGGTGACTTAAACCCTAAGCCTTAAGAAATTGACCAATCACAGACGATTACATATCTCCACATCGTATTTAACTTAATTGGTCAATTTCTTAAGGCTTAGGGCTCAAATCACCTATTGTAGACCGGGATTAAGAGTGGCAGAAGACTACTCCTTTAGATAAATTTGGTGTTATATGCTATTCTAATCTAGAATAAGTATTTACGAAAGAAAGCAAAAAAGCACGCTACAATCTTTATCGTCAAGAACATTCTAAGCTCGTCAAACGAGTCTAGAATGTTCGTTGGAGAATAGACTCGTACGACTGAACAAATATGTCGAAGTTTTTTTTACTTGCATTCGCATTATCGAATAATGTCACGTGAAGGAAAAAAATCGACTCGAACTATATCGAGAAAAATGCCTACCATGTTGCACTTCTATCTTTTCGTTGTATCAATATCATTTTATTGTTATCGTTTTTATTTATTATATTATTATTGTCATCTTATTACTCACTGTCGTTATTTATTATATTATTATTGTCATCTTATTACTTACTGTCGTTTCGTTATATATAACGTTCAATTATAACGCGAAAAAAATGAGACTTTTTACTTTTTCACATACATTTCATGGAAAAGGATATATCCTGTTCTTTCTATAGATCCTACTATTCGTTCTATAAGCAGGTATGAGTTAAGAAGGTTGAATAGGTATCCTGTCTAAAAATAAGAGTTCTAACGAATTGTTCTCTGCGTCAAAGAACTTGTGATGCTTCCCACATTGACGAAAATATTTTCCTTTTACTATTCTCTACTGTATTCTACGCTAAAGCAATTTTTAGTTAATAATAGGGCGAATTTTCTATCTACGGCCTATTGACTTGATTTTTGGCAAAAATACCCCATATCTCAAATAAATACCAACCCCATATAATTTCAATTTAATGCCAAAAATGTTTAAATAACGTTATATATTGCTGTTATAATATTATTTTTCCAGATGAATGTACGTACCGTGATTGTACATTTATTTACTTGTGATTGTCGGAAGTTTATCCTAATAGTATATTAACATCACGAAGATGTTTAGATTTTTCTCGAAATAAAGTTTTCTACACGAAAAAGATAACTATGTTATCTTAGTATAGCTGAATGTTCTGTTAGAACCTGGCGAAAGTTGTAGACTCGGTTGCAGAAAGATACCTGTAGGAGGTTTTCACGCAGTCATTTCTGTTCAACACCAGGTTTTAACGCAACGTAGAATGTTCAAACGAATGTTTTCGGCCACGGTAACAGAGATAGCTCGTCAGCAAGTTTTTCATCTGGTATCCGTTACACGGCTGAAATTTTATTTTTCGTATATTATCATACACTGTGTTTCCAAATAAAAATAACGATTTGTAATAGTAGATTGTACGAATTTAGAAATAGAACAGAACATAAGCACAATAGAGATAATAGATGTAATAGACACGAGGATGATAAACATCGTACGTCATTAACGGTCATTAAGGTCATGATTGCGCCAATGAGCAAAAGCCACCAAGATTTACAAAATTGGATCAAGAGTATAAAAGCGATCAGGATATGGCTCTCGCGCACTCCTAAACCATTAACATCCTGAGAATGTAATATATAATACACACACACACACACACACACACACACACACACACACACACACACACACACACACACACACACACATATTATATATAATAAAGATTTGCACCTAAGTCAATAGTCTTCTATTTGAAGCAAATTTCATATCTACAGAATAAATTTCTTAAAGATTAAAAGCAATTATTGCTCCAATTATAAACATAAGAGACTATGAAGGACTATAATCTCACAATAGGAATTCGTACTTCTGTGGGGATGCAAAAAATACGCGTTTAAAGTTTCAATTTTGATTAACTCAGAGATCAATAAAGCGATTGGTTCGATCGGATCGATCAAAGTTATTTATGGCTCGTAAAAAGCTCATCTTATTATGGTCTCTGATAAAGATTTCTATAAGCATCGATGAATTCTCTCATCGTGAAACATCTTGTGAGCGCGCTCTTTCCATCTTTCGTAAATCTCTATCCTTAGTTTCATAATAATTATAATATTTATAGTTTTCTTATTTATTTTATTAAGGCACTGATCTCAATGCACAAAATTTATCATTTATCATTAATATAATACATTGACATAGAAAAATAGACTACGAAAGAAAAACGCAGACTGTATTCTTTGACGATTGGAATCAGATCAATATTCTACAAGGACTAACTGTTCACGAAAGTTATTGTGTTCAAATGATTATACCGTTATAGTTATAGCAATAATTACAGTGAAACGTTATAATAAATATAAGAAGAAAGAAAGAAACCTTGACTTTGAAATGTTATTCTCGCACCGAGACGTGTATTAAAGAGCCTCCCTCGAAAAGTCGGGATTTTTTGCAGATTCTTATGGATCTTAAGGCCGATTGTTCCAATCTCTTGGTAAGCTACTTAGGACCGGTTTTTCAATAGCAGTTTAAACTTGGATTCAAGTTTAAACTCTATGCAAACAATGCATTTGTTTTGTTTAAACAAAGTTTAAGTTGAAATCTAAGTTTAAACTATCATTGAAAAATCGGTCCTTAACAGTTAAATCATATATTTGTCTTCGTTTCTTCTTCAAATTAAACACAGATATATGATTTAACCGTTAGGTAACTTACCAAGAGAGGCTGGAACAATCGACTGTTAAAAATATATTCCTAAGAAATTCCACCGGAATTGAAGATGCTATAAGCGTTCAACCGCACCGAGATGGACGCCCTGAGAGCGTTCAGCGATCGCTCTCCGTGTACTCGAACTCTAAGAGTATCTAAAAGAAAAGACACGTGGCCATAAAATTATTAATATAATGATAAACGGTTAACATGTGTTGTGTCACAAAAATATGCGCATGTTTATACAATACAATGCACATTACTGTTTATCATTAAATTTTTTTCACTGAAGATTCCGAGAAAAAGTTAAACAAATGACATAAATTTAACTATTGTGCTAGGCATGTAGAATCAGACTGAAGACCGGAAACTTTTTTCCTGAGCCGTGACAAAAAATATTTGAAGAGCACCGATTATCCATACTGTCCATACCTGTAGTGCCTTTAGTGAAGCAAGAATTCGTACAGACAGTAAGATAAACGTCGCAGTAGTCGAATATACATGTCCCAATGACTGATATATTGGTTTTGTATTTTTCTTTGTTGAAATGCTTTTCAATATATAAAACAATATAATAAATGAAAAGAAATATTTAATCACTTTGTGATTTATTGATCATTTATTGATTTCATTTATTGATAAGCATCTTACAAACACAAGCATATTATTAATAATTCAATTATCGATACACGTTCAATCACTAGAACGTTTACCTTAGGTCAGCGGAAAACAATTTATACGGAGAAATGGAAGATCTCCTATATCGTCCGTTCTCGTATTAAGCAACAACATGAAACAACATGTTAGTGATCTTTCATACTACAGTGTACAAATAAAATTGTCAAAATTTTAAGAAAGACACGAGATAACGGCTCTCTTGCACTCTCTTGTGCTTAGTGTGAGAAAATGTAAACGTAC